TAACGACTACGGGGAGATTTGTTAAGCACAGATGCATGAGCAATTTAAACAATGTTTATATGAAGCAACAGTTTATACAGAAAGCTATTTATGGTTCACATTGTCCAATATCATTTTTGTCTTCTTCACAACAACTTTATTATCTGACCCCGTCCATATATAACTAAATATATTGATACAGCATTTCCCGCTTTTACTATGTCAACCCTTTAACGAGCACATGATAAAATTCTGCTGGCAAAGCACTAGGCACAAACAAATCTATTAAAATACAAGTAGTGGTTATGGGTAAAGAGTTATGTGCAGCTGGTACTTTTTATACTAGGCTCCCTATGCTTTTTTGGGGGGTGGGGGTTTGAGATGCCAGTACTCATGTATTGATAAAAGTGGTGTGGGTGCCAGCACGAAATGGCTGCCATGGGCAGTGAAAAACAAGTTGCCCAAATGGTCACAAAATATGCCTTGCCATCTCCAATGGCACTTTTCATATTTAAAAAGAGGGAGGAAAACATGGCTTCCACCCCAAAGGATTCTGGGAATGTAAAAGGCAACCCCTGGTGATAAGGCTGCTGAGCCTCTTCTGGCAGAAATCTCTCTCCCCCCCGCCCCAAAAAAGCTACAGTTCTCACAGAAGAAGAAATGACTATTAAATCAGTTTTAAATCTGTGGCATTCTTAATGCGGAGGATTCAGGTTTGATTTTTGAAGTGGCAACCAAAACAGCGAAGAAACCACAAGGCAATATTTCCACAGGATGTGGAAACCGTGTCGCAGCTCATGAATGTGTTTAATTTCACATGATTTTTACACCTTGAAATGGATGCCTGAGGACTGGCTTATCACAACCATTGATGGGGAGAAGAAAAAAACTGTGAAGAGGAGCAATCGTTCCCAACCACATTCCCAACCTTGAGGCAAATCCAGCCTTCAAAAGCCATGTGGTAAAACTGGACCTGTGGATACACGCATATGTACAAATACCCACCCACTCCATAAATCTAGATGGAAAGATCGCCAGTTTAGGACCCATGTTTGAAAACATGCCAGTTCTCCACAAAGGCCATTTCACTGCACCAAAAGAGAGAACAAGTAGGCCAACCTCAAAATGTGTGTCAAGTTTTCATAAAGGCTGCTTTAACAAAAGAAAAACACCACATTGTGCAGTTCTTTCCATAAATATTCTACTTCTAAAAACAAACACATAAGGTGTGTTTTTGGAATTTAGATGTGTTTGGGATCTTTGTCTGGTTGGGGGTTTGTTTGTTTGGAATTGGGCTTCTTTGACCCCCCCCCCAAAATAAACTGCACTACAAGGACCCAAACCAGGGGGGAGGGAGAATGGAAACTTTTTCATATATTTTTTTAAAAATGTGAAAAAGTAGAGCTTTGCATAAACCCAAAGCTAAGAATTTTCCATCATCTTATTGATTAACTTTGATAATTGCTGTCTATGTTCAAGTGAAACTGTTTTGGCAGGGAATGGACACAAATACACCTTCCAGACAAAAAAAGGGTCTGTTTCAGGTCACAGCAACTCTTGACCTTGTTTTCTTCCCCATCCCACCAGTCTCTCCCCGCCCCCCAGCCCTTTTTCTTGCTGGCTCCCACTGCAAAACAAGCCCCAGCCTTATAAAGAAGATATTCTTTGCTGCGTTTCCATAGCAACAGAATCCGGTTTAGAATTGCAAGCAGCACACAAGCACACAACACTCATCACCAACAACACAACCACACACACACACAAAATCACATGGTGTGTCAAGTTGGCATTACGACTAACAAAAAAATCTATAAGGCAAAAAAGGAGGGCAGAGAAGAGAGGTGGGCACGGTTGCCAACTGGCCAAAAGATTTACTGACCAGGCTTGTTCTTGTGCCTGCAACAGCTGCTTGAATTGTGCAAATTCAGGTGAAGCTGTTCTTGGCACATAGAGTGATGCCACCGATGCCTGGATAATGGCTGTAGATGGTGGTGCTGTTTAACTACACAGGAGCAGTGGCCAGTAAAAAGTTGTCAACCCTATAGGTGGTGCAGGATGAAACCCTTCTAGACAGGATTCTATTTCTGAAGACAAAACAAAAAATGAAAGGTGGGGAGGAAAATAGCAGGATTTGCGGTATTTCCTCTGCCTCCCCCTCCCCTTCTGAGGCTACAGGAGGTAGGGTAGCTCTGTGGTTAAATAATAATAGTAGTACTGTAATTCACTGGAATTAAAGCAAAAGCTCATCTAGCTCTGCATTCGTCCCCCATCAAGGGCCAGACAGATCCACCTGGGGAAACTTGCAATACTGTAACTAGTGGCTCAGCACCAGCAAGATTTACCGTATTTTTTGCTCTATAAGACTCACTTTTTCTCTCCTAAAAACTAAGGGGAAATGTGTGTGCGTCTTATGGAGCGAATGCAGGCTGCGCAGCTATCCCGGAAGCCAGAACAGCAAGAGGGATTGCTGCTTTCACTGCGCAGAGATCCCTCTTACTGTTCTGGCTTCTGAGATTCAGAATATTTTTTTTCTTGTTTTCCTCCTCCAAAAACTAGGTGCGTCTTGTGGTCTGGTGCATCTTATAGAGCGAAAAATACGGTACCTGCAGTAGATTTAGGGCAAACCAAGAGAAAGGCCTTTCCAGTCAATTCTCTTACGGAACACACTGCTTTGGCAAAGGAGCAGGACACATTCAAACCGAGGAGGAAGTCTTTATCTGTAGCGATACCTAAAAGATCACTTTTCTCAATACCAACTGCCTTCGACCCTTCAATCAGCAGATGAGGCCTTGTTGGTGGTTACCACTGGAGGCTGCCAGGTTGTCACTGACCTATGACAGGGCCTGTTCAGTGGTGGCTCCCCTGTTGTGGAATGCCCTCTCCTAGTGAGGTCTGCGCGTCTGTCCCCATCATTATTAACTTCCAGGAGTGGAGTGTTAAAAACACTCCCAGGCATTTGGTAGCTGAAAAAGCATGTTCCAGCCAACCCTGATATCTGTAACTGCTTTTAGAACCTCTTAATCTGTTTTAGAATGATTTTGCTTTGTCTTTGCTTTGTAATAGTTGTGTGCCTTCAAGAGGAGCAAAGGTGAGATATAAATTCAATAAAGAATGATACAGACAAGAAAATAGCTGTGATGAGAAAATGAGACTTCCAGGTTCAGAGGTGGTCTACTTCAGAATGCCAGCTGCAGAAGGGTAACAGCAAGAAAAGAGATGGTGCCTTTTTGCTCTGCTTCTGGGCTCCCCAGAGGTTCAAAGTTCATAGCAGTGAGAAACAAGATATGCTGGTCTTATCCAGCTGAGTGGTTTTTGTTTCCGTTTAAGTATTTTCTAGTGGATGTTACATGCATGGCAAAGGCAAAGGCCTGATTTTCAATATGTCACCTCTACTCGGAGAAAGGTCGCCCTTTTGCAATATGAGCATGCCTTTTCACCCCGTTTCGCTTGCAGACAGGGCTGTGATAAACATTCCCTTCCTTGTTCCTAAGCCAGTTCACGCCCAGGGAAAACCCCCTCCTATCAAAACAACATCACCGTTGCTCCCTCAACCAACGCCCAGAGTTGGCGCCTGTTCCACTTTTGTTGTGAGGTGCGGAAATGGTTTCAAAGCTCCCACTCAGATGGGAGGAGGAGAAGAGATGGACATCTACTAAGTGACAGTTTTTTTTCAAAACTCCCTCTCACATCTCCATGGGAACAGCATGGGGAGAGTGGTGCCCACCCTAGGCCACCTGTTCCTTTGAACAAGTCAGGTGTTCAATGCCTTTTAGCTGGAACCCCGACCTAGAAACAGTTCCTGTTTTTAAAGTACTGTATTGGCCTGGCTTATATAGCCTCACTTTCCCCCCAAATTCCGACCATGGAAAGTTAAAATGCAGCTTATATTCGCAACCTTACAGTATGCAGCTAGGAGTATGGGGCAAACAGCACCAGGAGTTTGGGTATTTTTTCTCCCCCCCCCTCCCCACCCGCAATTTTAAAGGTGCAGCTTATATTCGGGTCAATACGGTAATAAAAGTTAATGGCTCTTTTGTGCGAAAGCAGAAAGCGGTTGGCTCAAACAGTGCGAGTCCTACTCAAGAGCAAACCTCTTGAGTAATGGGCATGGCCAACTTAGATCCATTAAATTTCAATGAGCAGCACTCAGTTGACTATACTCCCCTCTGGGACCACATTCACAAAGCATTATGATACCACTTTAAACAGCCATGGTTTCTCCCAAAGAATTATGGGAACTGCAGTTTGTTAAGGGTGCTGAGAGTTGTTTGGTGACTCCAGTTTGGAAGAATAGTGTAACAATCAATCTCTCTTCATGGGTAACTTTGAAAGTGTAGTTCTGGGAACAGAACAGGTGTCGCCCAAGAACTCTCAGCACTCTCAACAAACTACAGCTCCCATAATTCTTTGGGAGAAGCCATGGCTGTTTAAAGGGGCAACACAGTGAATTATGTACATGGTGTGAATGTGGCCTGAGTCGCGCCATTTCAGACTGCAGACGGGGAATGGACATCAGTGGGAAGTGCACTGTTGTCCCACTCAGGTCCTGCTTGTGGGCTTGCCATTGGGACATCTGGTTAGCCACTGAGGGAACAAGATACTCATCTAGATTGACCCCTTTTGGCTTGATTCAGCCAGGCTGTGTTCTTAGGTGGGGGTTCACACAACTAAATAATTCTTCATATACATAAAAAATAACAAAAACATTCCGTTGTCTCCAACTAAGTTCTCGACTCAGAGTAGAACCACTGAAATGAATGAGCCTCGGTTAGTCACATCCATAAACTCCAATGGGTCTACTCGGAGGACTAACACTGGACACAATCCATTTCCTCTTAAAGGCTAATTTTCTACATGCAAGGATTCTTGTGTATGTGGTGGTGCTGCATGTCCCAAGAATAATTCAGCCTAAACAAAGGTTTTGTGAGAAGTAGACCCCGGTGGGGAAATGCAGCTTAAGGATTTTCTCTTCCAAAACAGCACCTCCAGCTGCCTGCCCAGTAACCCAAAACCTGAGCAGCAGCTCGGTGGTACAGTGGTAGAACATTTGCTTTGCATGCAGGAGGTTACAGGTTCAACCCCAGTCATTGCCAGGCTGGGAGAGAACCCTGCCTGAAACCTTTTAAGAATCACTGGCAGTCGGTGCACACTGTAAACTGTTGGTCAGACTTGGTGTAAGGCAGCTTCCCCTGCTCCAGAGCCCACAAGTCAGCCCTGTGCACTGCTTTCCAGTCTTCAAAACCATCCAGGAAATGTTCTCTAACCCATCTGACTACCAACTTCAGCTGAACTCAAGGAGGGTGTCACTAGCAATTTAATAAAGCAAGTTCAGTTGGAGCCCTAAGGGCATTTCACAGCATACAGGACAACTCTATGGGGCTGAGGACAGCTCAGTCCATCTGTCCCCCCAGTATGTGGGGACAGGGCTGAGACCACCCCAAATTTTGAGGTGCCGGGTCCTGTCGGGCCTTCCCGCTGCAGCAGAGGGACTTGTTGGGCCTCACAACCTCCTTCTGATGTGTGTGACATCACGCATGTTGCATGTGTGACATCACACACGTATGCCACACAGAAATCAGTGCCTCTGTAATCTGAAATCAGGGACCAAGTATCGTCACAATCAACTCTCCAAGAGTTATGAATAAATTCCTTTGTTTGTTTTCAAAACTGCCTTCAACCTTCTGGTTCATTACCAGCAAGGGAAGTCAAACCATTCAGACGGCAATAGGGCCCAGCGCTGGTGTGACTTGCTCCTGCAACTGGGGAAGCGGGTTGCAGGGGGAAAGAGAGAGAGAATGAACCAGCTATCTGCCCCAGTTGTGCACTGACCAGAAATGGTTCGCCACTGTTTCTCCTGCTTCAAAACCCCCCACCTTTTAAATGTGGTCGTAAGGAAGTTGGCTTGTAGCTCAGTGGCAGAGCACCTGTTGTGCAAGCAGACGGTCCCTGTTTCAATTCCTGGCAACTCCAGGTAAAAAGATTGTGGGGGAGGAAGAGACCCTTCTCTGCCTGTGGTCCTGGAATGTCACAGCTAGTCAGGGTACAAAATACCAGGCTAAAGAAGTGAATTGGCTTGATCTGGTTAAAGACAGTTACTGTACATATGTTAATCCAGTGCTTTCCAAAGTGGGCAGGGGAATAATTGCGGGGGGGTGGGGTGGTGAGGGGCTAAGAGGTAAGGTCGTACCTCGGAAGTCGAACGGAATCTGTTCCGGAAGTCCGTTCAACTTCCAAAACGTTTGGAAACCAACGTGTCAGACGTTCGGGTTCCAAAGAAAGTTTGCAAACCGGAACACTCGCTTCTGGGTTTGCGGCGTTCAGGAGCCAAAACGTTTGAGTCGCTAGGTGTTCATCAACCAATGTACGACTGTATTCTGAACAACGCTTTTTATAAAGTAGGGGACATTAGGGATAAGTTCATGGAACCAAGAGGCTGATGGCCTGAAAAAGTTAGGGGACCAATGAATTAACCCCATATTCATCACCCTCAGATGAAACACGACTTTGCACTTGCCCCACCCGCCCCCACCTCAAACCAGAGCTTAGATTGGATGCTCCTCAGGGCAGAGAGCTGTTTCTGATGCTCGGTGTACTGAGTTAAACACTTGGCTAGTTCAGATGACAACCTTGAGCTAGGCTGAGAACTTTGAGAACTTAAAGAAAAGTCACTTGATCCAGGGCCAGTCTGCATATATATTGGCCTATTTCGACCTCTTTTTCTTAACGGTGATTGCTCCTGCTCAGGCTGCATGGAAAAAGCATTTTGGTTCCAAAAATTCATTCTGATTGTGCAGATAAAACAGAACTGATAGAATTCTACAGCATGTGTCGCTAGTGTTTGGAAACAGTCCAGATCCAATGATCCCCAGATGGTGGAGATGTCAGGCACCATCCTGACACCCAGGCATCTTCACTTTGTCGCAAATGCACCTGGCGCTGGCTAATTTCGAACACCCCTTAAATAAATAACAATTCACCAGGCAGCAATCACACAGAGGAACGCCACTTAATGGCTTCAAAGCCTCATGCTTTCGGCTTTCTGACTGGGAAGAGAGCCCACGGAACAAACACACAGTGTGCCTTTAACAACCCACACGAGCTGCCCTGGCAGAACTGGGCAGGACCCATTGCTGCAGTTACTGCTGCCTCAAGTAAAAACAAATCCTCTTTTGTCCTTGCTGCCAAGCCAACTTTAGCAAAAACCCGCACACACACCTTCATAAAAACAATAACCAAACAAAGGGACTCATTTCAAGCTGGTGAATACTTTCAAATCTCTACCATCTTTGCTATTTATTTCTAGGGCACTTTTCAGAGGTTGCATGCAAAACAGCAATGCATAACATACATGGACGTGCAAGGGCCAAAGTGCAAGATACATGGACATATAAGGGCCAAAGTGCATTGTAAGAGCATACAATTTGCATGCAAAGAACCCCAGGTTTAATCCTTAAGTACGTTCAGGTAGGAAGCAAATACTTTCAAGGTAAGAAATAGTATCACCTTCTTCCACCTTGGTCAGGCCCACCTGCAGTCCTATGTCTGGTTCTGAGCACCACAGTTTAAGGAGGATATTGACAAGCTGGAAGGTGTGCAGAGGAAGGCAACCAAGATGATCAAGAGTCTGGAGACAAAGTCTTAAGAGGAACAGTCAAGGCAGCTGGGTCTGTTTAGCCAGGAAAACGGGAGACTGAGAGGTGATATGCTAGCCATTTCCAAATATCTGAAGGGTTGTCACATGGAAGATGGAGAAAGCTAGTTTCCTGCTGCTCTGGTGGGTATGACCCGAACCAATGGATTCAAATTACAAGAAAAGAGATTCTGACTAAATGTTAGAAAGAACTTTCTGGTGCTTTGAAGGTGGTGAACTCTCCCTCATTAGAAGCTTTTGATCAGAGGTTGGGTGGGCATCTGTGAGATGCTTCCAGGGTAACTAGATGCATTGCAAATGAAAAGTGATGCCCACTGAGACCTCTGGATTGCCCAGAGGAAGTCTGTAGATGTAACTAGTAGTTCTGGCTAAAAGAGTGACCGCGGGGCAGGGGGCCCAATCCACCACATACGGCATACTGGGTCCAGAAAATCCTCTTGGCATCTCATCAGAGTAAGCTCTGCTAGCCATATCTTGGTTTTATCCCCCTCCCCAAAATTCAACCTATTTTTTCATCTAAACCAGCAAATGCACATTTTCAAAACCAATCTGTGTCATGGTCCTGGGTCCCAAGCTTATTAAACATCTAGCACCAGCTTACCAAACTCTGACTATTGGAATAAAAACAGGCTTTGTAAGAACAGAAGAAGGAGGAGGAGAACACTGAGTGGGGTGGAGGGGCTGTTTGTACCAAGACCCTGCTCTCAGCTTCCCCTATCAAAGTCAAAAGCAGATGGTGCAGAAACTCCTTAATCTTAGAGTTTGAAATACGTATCTTTTCATAGTGCCGCCCCCCCACTTTAAAAGTGGGAGTGTGTGGGGCCATTGGCAAGGTCAGGGATATAGCTGATTACTATTTTTATGGAGAGAAAGGGATTTTAAGAGTCAGGAAGGCACATTTGCCATTCCTTGTAGCTCCTGTTAAAAGCTATTATTACAATTAATTTAATAATGGCTTTCTAAACTTCTCAATGTAATTAACACAGGGGTGCCCAAACTTTTTTCAAAGAGGGCCAGATTTGATGAAGTGAACATGCATGAGGGCCGACCAAAGTTCTTAAGCTTTTTTTAGGATTTTACCCCAGGAGGTAGACTGCCACGGGGGCTAGATTAAATCGACTGGTGGGCCGGATTAGGACATGCCTGAATTAACACATGGGATTATTAAAAACAGTTAAAAACACAAGAACAAATACATTTCAACCAAGGCTAAGACCATAACCAGAGGACACTCATAGTGAAGACCCATTCATGCAGCTGGGATGAAAACCTGATGGAACAAAAATCTGTCCCACTTCTTCTAGAGAGTGCAGATAGTGGGCACCTGCAGTATCTCAAACAGGAATGCCGTTTCACAGGACAGGGGCAGCCACACTAAAAGCCCTGCTCCGAGTTACTGCAAAGTTGGCTCCTGAGGTCTTTGGAGCTTGCAGGAGAGACTCTCCCACAGACCACAGCGATTCACTGGGTGCATAAAGGGATAAGGCTCTCTCTCTCTCAAGCAACCTAATTTGTTTAGGGCCTTGTATGTTAGTAACAACACCCTGAACTTGGCCCGGTCGCAAATTGGCAGCCATTGAAAATCCACAAGCAATGGTTTATTATGCTGGTGATAGTAGGGCCCCACAATCAACCTTGCCTCTGTATTTTGTACCAGCTGCTACAGCCTCCAGACCAAACTGAGCGTAGCCCCACTTAGCTCCCTGAGCCTCCAGTCGCTCTCTGGTCTCCAGGGACACCTCTCAGCATGCCCCTGCTTTTTCTGCATGATGCTATGGACCTCTGGAGAGTAGGAAGACTAAATTACCCACTACGGTCTGCTGGTGCCCTCCCTGACTGCGCCTAAGCAGATGTCCACTGGGTGGGAAGCTGGAGAAGGGCCTTGTCTTTTGTGGCCAGTGCAACATAGAAAACACTCCATACTGGGATTCAGCCAGCACCAACAGCTGGGTGTTTAGCCACCCACTAAAACCTCCTCTATTCAACCAGTGTTCTTCCCCTTGACCCACTGCTGCAGGCTCCTAAAATCACAGAATCGTAGCGTTGGGAGGGACCCAAAGGGCCATCTAGCTCAACCCCCTGCAATGCAGGAACCACAACTAAAGAATCCCTGGCAGATGGCCACCCAACCTCTGCCATCATCCTTGGTGTTATTAAGACCTTTTGCTTTTATTTGAACTTTTTTGCTGCTCTAATGTAAACTTCTTTGGTATTTCTGAAACAGCAATATAAAAATTCTTTTAAAAAATATTATTCCATTACTGCTACTACTACGTCATCTTCTTGCACTTAAATCAGGCATCCTGACTCCCTGATTTCTCAAGTATAAGGAAATCCCTGAAAAGTCTCCAAGCTGAAGCTTCTGTGTGGCCTGGCTGTTGCTGCTGCAGCCTGTCCTGTCCTGATGCATTCAGGGCTGCACCTTGGTGCTGGAGGAGAGAGAGAGGACACGGCTGTCGCAGCAGGATGCGTGGCTGAATCCACTGTGGAGTGAGCCCCAGGGTCCTTCTGGGAGAGGAGGCAGCACAAACAGTGAGAGCACAGCAAGGTCACAGCCATCTCACCTCTGGGATGCAGGGCAAGGCCCTAGGTGCTCCCTTCAAAAGGCATCAGAAGCTCAGGCTGGACTCCCCCCCCCCCCCGCTGCAACCAGGCACTCTCTCGGGAGGGGGCCCCCATTACATTCACCTGCTCTCAGGGCATACTGGCTCCTTTCCAGTGGCGGCTCCAGCATTCCATACAGTTGTGTAGAGTTGGACGGCACCCACAGAGTCATCTAGTCCAACTCCTTGCAATGCAAGAATTCACAGCCAAAGAATCACTGACAACCTCCCATGAAGACGAGGCCACTAGCTTCCAAGGGAGTACACAGTCAAACAGCTCTTACTGTAGTAAGGTTCTTCCTACTGTTTAACCGGAACTGCCTTTCTTCTAACTTGAATCCACTGGTTCAGGTCCTACCCTCTGTAGCAAAAGAAAACAGGCTTGCTCCATCATCTATGTGACAGTCCTTCAGGTATTTAAAGATAGCTATCCTCTCGCCTCTCCGTCTCCTCTTCTCCAGGCTAAACAAAATCCAACTCCCTCAACCGTGGCTCTTAAGGCTTGGTTTCCAGACCCTTGGTTATCCTGGCCTCCCTCCTCTGCCAGCTTGTCAATATCCTTCTTAAACTATGGCGCCCAGAACTGGACACAGAACTCCAGGTGTGATCCGGCCAAGGCAGAATAGAGAAGCGCTATTACTTCCCTTGTCCTGGGTGCTAGACTTCTATTGATGCTGCCTTGAATAGCACTGGCTTTTTTTGCTGCTGCATAACAC